ATACCTATGAGAGAGAGATTTTTAGTGAGAGAAACAAAGGACAACACTTACATAGTTTTCCAAAGGAACTAAAATAAGCTTCTCTAATTTCTCTAATACACTAACTACTCTAACGAATACTAGATTTCTGAGTTATTTGAACCTAGACAGGGCCTATTAAGCATTCTTCAAACTAAGATAAACCTTGATTAAATGAGGGTCGCTTGATATTAAATTGAACAGGGGAAATATTCTATTTCTCACCGTTTATTAGTTAAAATAATTAGTAGGTTGTGTTTGAGTAGATTCTTGAAGATCTTAAAAAAAATTTGACATAAAAAAATGCTCAACCTCAAGAAAGAAAACAAGGTTTTCCATAGATTAAGTTTGAATTCAATTAACGTATCTGAGTCATCCTTATGTAGCTTAACTCAAATAAGAACAAAGGAACACAAAAAGTTGAAAAATGGGAGAAATATTTTTGATAGAACGTAACATATCAACGAGAGAGAGAGAGTTTTAGAAAGAGAAACAAAGGACAACACTTACATAGTTTTCCAATGGAACTAAAATAAGCTTCTCTAATTTCTCTAGCACACTAACTACGCTAACGAACACTAGATTTCAGAGTTACTTGAACCTAGACAGGGCCTATAAAGCATTCTTCGAACTAAATAAACCTTGGTTAAATGAGGGTCATTTTATATGGGAAATATTGTATTTCTCACTGTTTATTAGTTGAAATAATTAGTAGGTTGTGTTTGAGTAAATTATTGAAGATCTTAATTTTTTTTGACATAAAAATTTGCTCAACGTCAAGAAAGAAAACATGGTTCTCCATAGATTAACTTTGAATTCAATTAACATATCTGGATCATCCTTACACAGGTTAACTCAAATAAGGACATAGGAATACAAAAACTGAAAAAATGGGAGAATGTTTTTTTTTGATAGAACGTTGAAAAGTTCAGTGTACAGCTTCTAGATTCAGTGCATGGACTATTGTCCCCCAGAGATCCTATTCTTATAAGGAACACAGATTAATGCCTTCTAGTCCTAGTAAGTAAAACTTTTTCCCGATTGCATCTGGACTTTATCAAAGAATTTTAGATTCGTTAATCCTGATAATTCCTATAATTCATTCTGGAAGGTAAATTTTTTAAACCATCATGAATGAGTTTAGTTTTCCAAGAAAACATGCTACTCATAGATAAATTTCAAAATTAAAGTAACATATCTTGATGGTCCTTATGTATCTTAGTTTAAAAGGACAAAAAAAGAAAAACTGACACAGGGGGAAAACATTGAGATAACATTGACAACTTCAGTGTACTGATCCTAGTTTCAGTTCATGGACTATTGTCCCTTGGAGATCCTAAACTTATATAAAAACTCAGATTAATACCTTCTAGAAATAAAAAACATTCCTGACTGGGAATGGACTTCTTTTGGAAGGATTTTATATTTATTACTTTTCATAATTCCAATAATTTGTTCTGATAGTCAAACTTTCATGAACTTCATGAATGGGTTTAACTTTCTTTTAGTACAATGAGGGTGCTTAGGTCCTCCCTGATCTAGATATTGAGAAAATGGATTATTGGTTCAAGTAGCCTCAAATTCATAATATAAAATAAATGGATTTTACCCCTTTTTGATTCTGGGCATGTATTATGATGGTTTAAGTACAAATGAACAAAAGAAGAAAAATAATCATGGAGAGAGAATTTTCTAATGCATTAGTAAGCAAGCAGCCGTAGTCGATGAAGTGAAAGTTATTGAATTTAGGTGTAAATTCTTTTTTGATTTTTTTATGTTCATTTGACTAACCTTCTGTAGCATGGACAATGACCTGCTAGGATAGAAACCACAAGTCTACCTGGCCAATTCTAAAAGTGCAGAATATGCTTTTCCAGCACAATAGGACTCCACAATTAAAGAGCCATTCAACATATCTATCCCATGAACCGCACAATACTATGCAACACATAATTAATTTAATTCATCCAAATTGAACCACATTGTATTGTTGATCTTGATGCTTAAATTATAAAACTACATGGCTTTATGTATAATAAATATCCAAGAAATTTTCTCTAGTTTGGAAAATGATGGTGCATAGTTTACCTTCTAGGTGAAAGAATATCTCAAGCATTCATACTCTAATAAAGAATACGACTAATAAGTGCCATCTGTGACAGCTTCCTGATTTTTCCCTTCATACAGTTCCTCTGATGATACATGCAGATAAAAATTGATAAAATACCATAGCATAGCAAAATGATAACTCCCATGTGCAAAAAGGAAAGTGCTCATCCTTTTGTGCTATACAAGTAGTAGCACACTAGCACCACTGCAACTGTCAGTTTTATCTCTTCATCTAAGTTTTACATGCAAGTAGAAATAATTGAGATCAAACATTCTTCACATTTAACTTACATACATCAAGCCCATTACCTTCCTCCCTGTTTCCAGATTATTTTTGGCTCTTTTCTTGTTTTCCTTGGAAAAAGAAGACTTTTTTTCCTCATCGATATATATATATATGTATATATATTTTTGCAGAAGAAGCGCTATTATCTTATGGCTAATCCTTCCACCGATCAGTTATTACAAGTGGAGACCACGTGCGGAACACTTCTATACGAGCTTCAGGTTACTCTTCTTTATAATCCATATGTTCTTCCCTTATCCTTTTTATCTTATCCAGAGTATATATGGGAAATGAATTATAGCAGCACAGTGATTTGCTAGACCTGGCAATTCTCACCGAAAAGACTAGACCTAATGCAATAGAAGAACACCATACTGCTGCTGTAATTTCAAAAGTTTCTTCTCAAAATGCAAGTTTCCCATCTAACTTTAATAAAATTGTATTTATTGTAGACAATATGGGATGAAGTTGGAGAAACTGACAGTGACAGGGATAAAATGCTGCTCGAGCTAGAACAAGAATGCTTGGAGGTATATAGAAGAAAGGTTGACCAGGCCAACCGCTCTAGAGCTCAGCTGCGTCAAGCTATTGCTGATTCTGAAGCAGAGCTTGCATCAATCTGTTCTGCCTTGGGGGAACCTCCAGTGCATACAAAGCAGGTATATGTTCATGCCATATTGCCATCTATTGTTGAAACTTGCAAGTGAAAACAGTTACTAGTCTTCCATGCTGAAAATTATATAACACATCATATAATGCTTCTTCGTACTAGATATTTTCTTTCAGCTGTCTGGTATATACTACATGCATTGACATCAGAGTGCCCTTCATGTGAAAGCTACATGCATTAATGCTTAGAGTTTAACTTCTAACTTTACCTCAATTGTCAGTCAAGCCAGAATCCTGGGAGTCTGAAGGAGGAACTCAAGTTTATTATTCCTCATCTGGAGGATATGAGGAAGAGGAAGAGTGAAAGAAGGAACAGATTCCTTGAAGTAATAGAGCAAATTCGAAAAATTTCAAATGAGATTCAGCCTGAAGATCACAGTAGATTCAAAATGGCTATAGATGAATATGATCTATCTACAAAAAGGCTTGAAGAATTGCAAAGGCAGCTGCATTCACTTCAGAAAGAGAAGGTAGGACTTCACATTTTGCAAAGAAAGGAAGCAACCCAGCTCTTTTGTTATCCTGATGTCTTCTGAATCTATCCTTTGCAGTCTGATCGGCTAAAGCAGGTGTTGGAACACTTGAGCATTTTAAATTCTCTGTGTCTCGTACTTGGTATAGATTTCAAGAAAACAATTACTGAGGTGCATCCTAGTTTAGATGAGAATGAAGCATCAAAGAGCATTAGCAATGATACAATAGAAAGGCTGGCCTCTGCAATCCAGAGATTCCGAGAGCTTAAGATACAACGTATGCAGAAGGTAATTCATTTAAAATAAACTCTATCTTCTACAGAATTCATTCTGTACTTATTAGCCTATCTTGTGTCAGCTACAAGATCTTGCTACTATGATGTTGGAACTATGGAATCTGATGGACACTCCAATTGAAGAGCAACAAGTGTTTCAAAATGTAACGAGTAATATAGCTGCTTCAGAGCCTGAAATAACAGAGCCCAACACACTTTCATTAGACTTCATAAACTACGTAAGTTGGTAATCTCAAATGGAAATTTTGATTAAGCCTATCACTTTTTTTTCATACTGTTAAGGTATGCATGGTACTTACAGGTGGAGGCGGAAGTTTCAAGGCTTGAGGAACTAAAGGCTAGCAAGATGAAGGAGTTAGTTTTCAAGAAGAAGACAGAACTAGAGGAGTTAAGGCGACGTACACATTTGGTTGCAGAATCAGACAGTGGAGTGGAATCTGCCATAGAGTCTGGTAAAGAAATCTGTCCCATATGTTAACTTCCATCGGTATTACATTAAAAAAAAAATTCAGATTGACATTACTTAGGCATTCTGCATCCTAGTTTAACATATTCAAGATAAACTTTTGTTAATATTCACAAGGCATGGTGAGGACATGCTTAATAACTATTACAGCAACTTCTTGGTTTAACTTTTCCCCCTAACTTTTTAACAAGTTGAGCTCGACGTCTAGTTAGCTAATATGCATATCTTGAATAAAATAAAATCCATTATTCATATTCTCAAACTGAGAAATTTGTAGTACAAACTTGTTCTTGACCCATCTAAATATGGTAGTCAGAATAGTTGCTACGTACAACTTTAAAATGAATGAAGTTAGCTAATATGCATATCTTGAATATAGAAGAATAAAGGAAGAATCCATTGCTCATATTCTCGAACTGAGAAATTTGTAGTACAAACTACAAACTTGTTTTTGATCCATCTAAATTGGCAGTCAAAAAAGTTTTTATGTATAAATTTAAAAGGAATGAGGTTAGAAAACATTTATATTTTCAGGATTTTCTTGCAAATGGAATTAAACCTTAACTAAAGAACATACTTAAGATTAAGAGCATGTGAAGAACAATTTCTATGATGATTGCTGATGAACATTATCTCTTTCTTTGATTGGTACCAAGAATCTAAGCGGTAAGCACGATAGCACAGGTAATTGGAAAATATACTGTGTTGTTCTCGATAAACTTCATACCAACTTAAATAAGTTGATCCAATCATGTAGCATCAAGGGAGTGATGAGTTGTTTTTTGAGACACTTTAAAGTCAACCTTTAGTTTCTCTTTTCAACTATAAATAATGAGCTCAGCCCAGCTAGTATAAGTTTGAGTTGAGTTTTTACAATTAGTTATACTGAATATACAGCTTTGTTGTTAACTCCGTTGTTTCCTCTCTTCTGTTGCAGGAGCTGTTGATCCGTCTTTAATATTGGAACAAATTGAAGCTCACATTTCAGTTGTTAAAGAGGAAGCTTTTAGCAGGAAGGAAATCCTCGAAAGAGTTGAAAAATGGTTGGCTGCATGCGATGAAGAGTCATGGCTTGAAGAATACAACAGAGTTGGGAATTACGTTATTTAGCTAGCTACATCAGTTCATTCTTCCTTGAAACTACTTACCGACAGTATATATGTTAAATTTCAGGATGAGAACCGTTATAGCGCTGGAAAGGGTGCCCACCTCATACTCAAGCGCGCTGAAAAGGCACGAGCTACAGTAAACAAGATCCCAGGTTGACACTTGCATATACTAGGAGTATACTGAGGAAAAATCCTGGAATATTATACAAAATTCATTTTTGTTATACACCATTATAAATATCAAGAATTTAATTTATTTAGAAAATATATGCAACTTCTAGTTGACTTAAAAGATTATCTCAATAATCTATTGTTCTGCTGTTATTGCTATAATTGGAATAAATGACAACAGAAATCTGCACCCTGCATTTTCTACAGCTTACTCTTGTTATTCTTATATGTTTCCATATCTTTCCCCTTGTATTGACAAACTTTTGCATTTTTTATATCTTGAAATTCGCTGCAACTGATTGGAACCAAGTTTGAGAGCAGAACTCCAACATCGTTTTTATATTATTACTGTCGCACAACTGATTTTTTTTCATTATAACCATACAGCGATGGTCGAGGCTTTATCTAGCAAAATCATCACATGGGAGAATGAGAGGGGACTAGAGTTCACATATGATGGAGTAAGCATTTCAGCTATACAATGACAGTTCTTTGAATTAGAATGTCAAATTTAGTTCTAGCCTTTTTAAGTTAATACTCAAATATGGCATGAACCAATGTGTTTACTTGATATGATAATATAATATATTTTTTGTTCATTAATCAAAATGCTGTTTCTTGTTAATACTTTTCCTTTTTCCTAATGTGGCGTCTCTCATGTTTGCTTGCCTACGTTATAGATATTAAATGAAGAATATTTTTTGAAGCTATTTTTGCTTCTCATCCTTGCAGCTACGACTGTTGTCGATGCTTGAAGAGTACACCATAGTGAGGCAGGAGAAAGAACTAGAACGGAAGAGGCAACGGGTAATTCTTTGGTTTTTTTAATATCTATGCTTCGATAGAATGGGTAACTCAGCCAATTGATGATCACAGGATCAGAAAAAGCTTCAGGGTCAGCTTATCGCTGAACAGGAAGCTTTGTTTGGTTCTAAACCGAGCCCATGTAAGCCCCAAAGTGCAAAGAAAATGCCGAGAACTTCTAATGGTGGTCCAAACAGAAGGCTTTCCTTAGGTGCAGCAGCCATAATGCAGCCTTCAAAATCTGACTTGCTGCACTCCACTAAACCCATACGTTCAGCTAAGAAGCCTGATGACCGCTCTGTCCTTTCTCATGGTATGTTTTTTTTATCAATTCATTTCCGACAATTGAAATACATATGGATGTTGTTGTTAGGATTTTATGGAGTCTATCTGCAGAATTAAAACACGAGAAACAAAATAATGGCACCAACGAAAATAGCACACACAAGCAAAAACTAGTTCGGCAAATAGCGCCAGCGTCCGCAGGGCAATCTAGAAAGAATAATCTACTATAGAATCAAGAGTACAACTTCTCAAGGCAGGGCACCGAAACACTAAACACCACAAATCTCCAACTCATGTGGAGAAACCACCACTGTACCCTTGACGCTTTATCTCTTTCTCTCTCCCCCCCTCGGAAACAGTGCACGGATTCTTTTTGTGCTCTCTGTTTCGGCTCTGTTGATCATAGAGTTTTCACAAAGGGCCAACTCTTTATTAAAAGGAATAATTCGTATAAGCCCACCAATCATTTTCCAATTGACTATAGGCTCAATCACATCCTATTCCAAATAGGATTGTAAGGCCCCACTTTGGGCTGGACCCACACAATAGTTATATTTTCTCATGGCATGTTATGCAATTTGTTGAGGATTAAGCTATAGGCATTTAGAACCAGGAATGTTAGTTGTTTACCTGCAAACTTAACAAAATTATGAATATTAGTTTTCGTGATTCTGTCGTCGGAAGTAACCAACAATCTGTATGTGGACATTATAGTATCAGTGTAACCTGTAATGTTTGGTTAGTTCTGTGTATTTCATAGGAACTTTATGAGGAGTATATGATTTTAAGATGATCATATGGGGTTGGTTACCTATATGAATGCCGATATGGCTGGTGAAATTGATACTACGTCTACGTACTTGGTTACTTTTAGAGGAGCATGAGAAGGAGCCATTTGCAGCAGTACTAATTACAAATATTTCGTACGGTTTAATAGATTGCGGCATGTTTGAAAAATGTCAATACCTCTCATCTTTGAGTTTCTATACCATTGAGATTTTACGCCAACTAACTTAAGTCCTGTTAGTATAATGAGCCGAACAATTAAGCATGAGAAATGCAGCAATTGTGAGTTTATGGCAAACAACTAAGTTCTTTGGTAGATGGATGAGCATATGGGGAAAACCAGACAACTGATGATAATAATACATTCCATGTTTCTTGCCTTATTTCCTTATGGACTCAGCTAACGCTTTTTAACCTGCGTGTTTGCAGCCAGCAGAGGACTAGATGTTGCTGGTCTTCCGATGAAAAGATTATCCTTCAATCCCACAAGTGCTCGAGAAGTGGAAACACAGCGAAAACCCTTCACACCTGTAGCACCCAACAACAATATCCCGCCAGCACCCTCTCACCAAAACACCTCGACATCACCATCCCATCAAAACATTCCGGTAACACCTTCCCATTATCATCAGCAGGAGATCCCCAAGACCCCCCTGCAAAACATCACGATGACACCCTCTCAGCGAGATTTTACTGAAGCTGAGGAAAACATGACACCGAAAAAAGTGATGCCAATCCCAACGCCCAAGACACCGATGACGGTATCTATGCCAATGCAGATGGCCACCACGCCTGCCCCAGCCTCTGTTGGTTACGAAGCGACGGCAATTAGGAAGCCGGAGGTGACAACGGAGTACTCTTTTGAAGAGAGAAGGCTCGCTTACTATCTCAGCAGACGAGATTAGTGTATTTTAGGCTGGCCCCTGTACACATTCTTTGGCTGTCGTTGCGGTGATTTGCAAGCTTCATTTGCAAATACTGTCCTGTTATAGAATCATATATGCAGTTTGTAGCGAGCTTTTGGTAGCTCCTGATCATGAATGAACCTCTTAACACTGGCAAGTTATGTTTGGAAAATTTCACAAAATCGTTCATCTTTAGATTGTTGAAACATGTTGTCAGTCATTTTTACAGTAGAGGCGTGGCGTTTGTAGTGCCAGGTGTGAATATAGATAAAACCTGCGAGGTCCTCGGATCAAGCTCGCGCGTCGCAGTTTTGGTGGGCCATCATCTTATGGATCCATTGTGGGCTCAAGCTAAGTGCACTGGGCGCATTAAACTGGGCTGTCACTATCAACTTATCTGGCACTGCTCTGTTCCCCTCAAATCAAATTTTGATTATTGAAGGAGATGGATGAAGTTGGTGGTGATTAGGTCTTAGCTGGTGATGGTGATGCTTCAGCCCCATGGATAAATGTTTTATCTTACAAAAAGGCTAAATATCATAAAAACTGGACAAATTTTCAAAACCAACCTATTTGGACTTTTATTCCCAAAAAAAGACCCGTTTCACATTTATTTAGAGAAACCGACCTGGTTTCAGCCTCAGCGCTGAAACCAGGTCGGTTTTTGAAAAAAACTCTCCGAAACTTCACGGGAGTTGAACTCCCGTGAAGTTTTTTGAACTACGAAACTTCACGGGAGTTCAACTCCCGTGAAGTTTCGGAGAGTTTTTTTCAAAAACCGACCTGGTTTCAGCACTGAGGCTGAAACCAGGTCGGTTTTTGCAATTATTTTTGAATGGGGTCGTTTTTTGGGAATAAAAGTCCAAATAGGTTGGTTTAGAAAATTTGTCCCATAAAAACTCCCTCAACTTTGGATGATCACCAGAAAACCCCCTTTAACGTTCAAAATATAAAAAAAAAACCCTTTAAGTTTAGTGGTTATTAGAAACCCCCTAAAGTTTTGGGGCTTTTTTGATAAACTCTTAGTTAAAAGGAGGTTTTCTGATAAAATCTGATAATTCCCCTTTACTTATGGGGGGTTTTTTAATATTTTGAAAGTTAAGAGGGTTTTTCTGATAATTGTCCTATGTTAAGGGTGTTTTCTAATACTTGGCCTAAAAAAAAAAAAAAAAAAAATTAGAGCACATTGTAGTAGTTGTAAACTTTAACAAAGTTCAATTTCTTTTTTAAAAGTTTTTTTATTATTTTTATTTATCATTTGGTCACACTTGTATCATACAGTGTATGACGTCCTTCATTACTCATTCCGTATAAAATTGCTAGGTAAATTGGTGGGGGATGTTGTTGGGCAAATTAAAGGTCTAGCTATAAAAATTGGTGAAATTTCACTAAAAAATCTTGTTACAGCTTCCTCAATTAAGTCTGCTAAAACTTCTCAAAAGTTGGATAGAGAAGATAATAGATAAACCTAGTCTTATTTGTAGGCTATTCATCTACTACTCTATACATTAAGGAGAATCCAAAGAGTAACTGCTTATGCTACAGTAGATAATGTACCATGAACAAAATAATCATACATGTGCCTTCTGCACCGAAGTTACTGTTTATGCAATAGTAATTTACTGTACCATAAACATTGAATAAAATCTGTTTCTCCATACTTAAAGTTAATATTCATGCTACAGTAATTTACTGTATCATAAATAGTAAAGCAAATCAAATGTATTAAAACTTTGATTTTTTTTCAAGTATAGAGGAGCAGATATTATTTCTAAATCAAATGTATTAAAACTTGGATCCTTCTTTAAGTATAGAGGAGTAGATATTATTTTTAATTTTAAGCATACAATAATTAAATCAAATGTATTAAAATTTAGAGGGAGACAAGTTTAAAATACAATGCTTAAAAAAGTAGGGGGTCGTGTTTTGCACGGGGTGCACATTAGTAGAGCTATTATGCAAGTATCCTCTTCTACCATTAATCTTGAATTATTATAATTATTTGCTAATATAGCACCTCAATTATCTCATGAAGGGTTCCATAAAAAAAATGAATGCAGTATAGTTATATACTAGGGGAATTCTCACTTAAATGTGATGATAACTGTATTAATATTCTGATTTGAACTACGCCATGTAGTCAATGATAGGCATGCAATCTTGATTTCTTGACTAATGAAAAGATTTATCAAAAAAATGGATCTGCACTAGGACCTAAACTACTTTGAGTGGGTGTTAAAAGTACTTATGAAAAAAAATAATTATTAGCATATTTTTGTTCATTTTCTCTTCACAGCGAGTAGGGAACTTTTGATTTTCTGTTATTTGAATTAGCATTACTAATGAGAAATAAGGCGAGCATAGTAAATCCATTTGCTTGTTTCCGTAGTAAATAAAAAAGAGCTGTTGGAACTTTCATTCAAAAACATATATAAATAAAACAGCATTATCTCTTTCAGATTTGATGGTTCTACTTATAGTTTGAAGTTCTATTTGTATATCACTTCACGAGTTTAGTGATTGCGCAGTTTCTTCCTTCACCAAGATCAAGGAATGATTCTTAAATATGGGATTACCTGATAATTCATTTTATAAGATATCATTATCTGTAATATATCCTGAACTTCAATGAAGATGTTCATTTGGTGGTCTGAGCATTTTGGATTGGGCCTATAACAGAACAAACTACGATAAATAGGCCCATCTAAACATAGAGCGAGCGGTAGGGTGAGGATTATAATCCAGAAAATGGTTGTGTACGATGTAGCTTCTATTAGATTAATTTCAGAACTTTTAAAAGGTCGGGTTATTTATGGGCGTCGGTCGGAATGGCTTTCCTTTCTCAGCCCAATTTTCGCACCCAAGTTATCCTAAGTATTTAATCTAAGTCCATCTTTCTCGTAACATGGTAGGAAAACTCACTTAAATTATTAGCCTTTTTTTCATATTAGACCCTAAACTCTTTGTTAATTTTATATTGGGCCAAAAATTAACCAAATCTTGCGTTTGTAACACTCCCATATCTGTAAAGTTGTCATATTACACATAAATTATTTCTTAGTAATTTGTTAGGTTCACAAGTGCTCACACTTCTAAATTACACCCGAATGCAGTAAGTTGTTTTAAATAATACTCCATTCGAAAAAAGGGAAATTGGGAAAAACTTTCTATGGATAAAATTACCCTTAACCTTTAAAATATTATGTTATTATCATATACTATCTTAATTAATTTTAATTATCTTAATTAATTTTAATTAATAGGAATAAGCTTCAATTATCCTATCCTACCCTAATTAATACACATATAAGCTCAGATTTGATTTACATATATTAAAAATAGAAAATCGCAGAACTTATATAATTAATATTTACTAGAGAAATAGATAAAGATTAAAATTTTGACGATCTAAAGATTTGGATTTGGTACCTAACTAGTCAAAAAATAGAACTCTTTATCGTATCATTTGTTTCCTTACGTTTAAATTTAAAAAAATAAAGACTTTAAAATTTTGACAATCTAAAGAGCAGAATTTGGTACCCAGCTAACAAGTAAAAAAATTAAACTATTTATCTTACCATTTGGTTCTTTATATTTAAATTTAAAAATAAATATAATAGATAATATTATGAAATATTTTGCCCTCCTAAATTATTTTCATAATTTTGGAGATAAATGCCTACGTGAGTGACCAAGCTAGAAAATATTCAAAATCCATAGAATATGCGTAACTTGTGGAAATACTGGAAAGGCGTAATTTAAAGATTTTATTAAAAAAATCAAACTACAAGATTAGAAGAAATGGCCAAAACCCAAAAGTCATCAAAATATTAAAAATTTTGCAGAAAGATCCTAGATTTTAGAAAATCTATAGAAAAGTCAGTTTGCACAAGAATCCATATAAATTCTACATTTCCAATTATCCTTAGTAATAGAAATATCTTTAACGTGACTTCATTATGATCATGTTCTAATTAATTGAATTATCTTTAATGAGATACAAGTTATAAATTATCTTTCTCCACATTCAACCATTTCTCAAGAAATTAAAAAATTAAAAAATTAAAAAATCTCAAAACTTAAAATATATATTTATAAAGATTTAAAATTTGTACCTAACAAGTAAAAAAATAGAAAAACTATGTCTTATCATCTATTTCTTTAATATTTAAATTAAAAACAAAGATAAATGTTATGGTGCTTCAAACGTTAAGAATTAATCTCCAATCAGTGGCTGACAAGTATCCCGCATTAGATGTAATATCTAATCAGTTCACCACCTCAGGACAATCCAACTGCCCCATTTAGACGAATCGACGGGTCGACATTCCCCTTAGTCGTCTAGAAAGGTGATGCGTGTCGACCTCCTTGCTAGGTCGAGTCGGCAAGCGGCCTACTCAAACAGCTCCTGGGCCAACATCTCGCAAAGACGACTTGAAAGACGGTATCTCCCACCACTCGACCAGACGAGTAGAAAGGCGATAAATACCTCGAACCCCCCACTGACAGGTCGTCGCGATCACATTAAATGCATGTTCAGGCGCCATCATTTCTCGATCCTCGAAAGTCTTTAAGACACATTGGACCATGTCGTCGCTGTGTGCATCCGGTCACATCACATTAAATGAGGAAGTGATCTCCTCCACTCCACTGCCGACACTTGTAAAGCCTATGCTGACTCAGTCGCAAGCTAATACTCAGCCAGAATTACCAAACTACCCTACAACCTTTGCTATAGATAAGGGAACTGTTCTCTGTATCAAGGTAAGCAATTTCTCTATCACTTTAGCCTCCTCGTTGTATTAAAGAAATTTCATAGTTTATCTTTCTTCTCCACTCAAGCACCTTGCTGACTTGACCGTTGGAGGAACAACGAGGGAAATAAATCCCGCCCTTAATTGTGCAGGGAAGAACAGCTTACTCCAGAATCAGACATTCGGAGGGTTAGAGGACTTCCATCAACTTAATCAATTCTTCTATTTGACTGTTTGATATTAGACATCAATAATATAGATAACTCAATAATATTATGAACACAAATGTTAATCATGTGTCATTAGCCAAGCTAGAAAATATTCAAAATCCATAGAACCTACCCGCCGCCTCGTAGAGATACCCAAAGGACTTCTACAATTTGAAGATTTTTAAAAAATCAAAAATAAGAATAACTTACAAATTTCGTAAAAAATAATCAAAAAGCTTTTCAAA